GTGGACATGAGTCAGCAATATGCCCTTGCAGCCCAGAAAGCCAACTGTATCTTGGGCTACATCAAAGAAAGCATGGCCAACGGGGTGAGGGAGGTGATCTTGCCTTTCTTCTCTGCACTGGTGAGGCCTCACCTGGAATGCTGCAACCAGATGTAGGGTCCTCAGTAAAGGAGAGGCATAGATCTGTTGGAGCATGTCCAGAGAAGGGCCACAAAAACGATCCACAGAATGGAAATATGAAGACAAGCTGAGATTGCTGAGGCTCTTTAGCCTGAAGAAAAAAAAGCTCCACTGTGACCTCATAGTGGACTTTAAGTATCTAAAATGGAGCTACATGAAAGAAGAGGACAGACTCTTTAGAAGAGTGTGTGGCGATTTAACAAGGGGAAATGGTTTCAAGCTAGAAGAGGGTAGATTTAGATTGGATACAAGGAAAAAAATCTATTACAATGAGGATGGTGAGGCACTGGAACAGGTTGCCCAGTGATGTGGTTGATATCCCATCCCTGGAGACTTTCAAGATGAGGCTGATCAGGCCCTGGGCAACCTGATCTAGCTGTGAATGTCCCTGTTCATTGCAGGGGAGTTGGACTAGATGGCCTTAACAGGTCTTTCCAACTCTGAGGATTCTATGATTTTGTACACAAAACAATATCCTAACAACATGGTAAGATGCTCCTTTCTCCTCTTTTCTTTTCCTTTCCTATATGATTAGAACAGAAACTATAAAACACCGATTGCCTCAGAAAGAATTGTGGGTTATATAACATGCTGTTGGGACAGCAAACTGCAATATGTATTAATATAAAATATGTTTTATTAAATATTTTATCACACTTCAAAGAAACATAGTAGCAAAAAAACAAATTTGCCTGCAGATCTTGACAGTTGGGATCATGTGAGGACAGGTGTGAGATTACAGCGTTAATAAAACTGAAGTTGAATACTGAATCTCTGAATACCAGAAGATGAATTTCAGTTTGGAAATTGATTTGATTTATATAACATAGGACATAAAAAGAGATATGTTGGTCACCATCTTTAGTTGGAAATGGTAGTTAGAAGAGTTGTGGTAGGTTGCTGGTAATTGCTGAGTTTGTACTTGCTTAGTCTGAATAAATGTGGATCATCCACCCTGCTAAAGCAAATTCTCTAAAACAGGTCACATAGGTAGGTGTCCAGACAGCTCTTGAATATCTCCATAGAAAGAGACTCCACAGCTTCTCTGAGCAGCCTGTTCCAGTGTTCCATAACCCTTAGCATCAAGTTCTTCTGCATATTATTACAGAACTTCCCATGTACGAGTTTTAGGCCATTACTCCTAGTCCTATTGCTAACTTACTATGTTCAGTAAGAATAAAGGCAAAATAATAATCACTGCTTTTAAAAAGCAAATTAGGATTACTCATACAGAAAGGGTAGTTTGTCAGTGAGTTTCCATCCACCATTTTCAGGAAATGGCCCAAGATTGTCAGTCTTTGGAGCCTGTAGCCACTCATGACTTGTACAAGAATGAGATCCTCAAATTCTAAAGACTTCTTTGCTTAGGGCACTTGAACATCTCAGACTGATCAGAGGACATATATTCCGTTGCCACAGAGCAAAGGAAATTGTGTTTACTTTATCTGTAATCTGACCTGAGACTTTTGTGCTGAAAATAGGAGGAGGAAAAATGTGATCTTGAAACAGAATATAAAGAGTGGCATAATAATTTTTGTTACTCTTTCTTTACAAGAAAATTCAGTCAGAAGAACTAGAAATGTTTTAAACAATAAGATGATTATAAATTAGTGAATTATGATGAAGACAGGTAGTTAATGTAGATGATTCAGGATGACACATTGTTAGGAGAGGAAAGCAATGAGTTGACGTAGAATTTGCAAGCACTTTATGTAACTGGAAGGTTTTTTTGTGTCAGCAGTTAAAAGCTTCATGAATGAATGTATATCCACTGAAATAAAACAAAGAAATATCATAAAAATTCATGCAAAGGCAGAACATATAAGTACAGCAGAAATCTGAATGAGTTTATGGTGTGAAAGTTGGATTTTAAAATAAATTGGTAAGTAGTTTTTGTAGTAAACTAAGACCACAACTAAAAAAGCAAGAGTGAAATTAATAGTAGTACAAAACTGACTGTTTTACTGAATTCAATATACTTTAGTATGTCATAATATTCAGCATAACATAGCACCTGTTGTAGTTTAACCCAGTAGGAAGCTGAACACCAAACAGCCATTTTGCCCCTGCCCTACTATGATATAGGAGAAAAATCAGAAAAAAGGTAATACTTGTGGGTTGTGACAAAGCCAGCTTAATAGGGCATAAAAGTAAAATAATAATTATTATGATTGAAAGACTATACAAAACAAGAAGTGAACAGTGCAATTGCTCACCACCTGCTGACTAATGCAGAGGAGGTCCTCACGCAGCAGTCCCCTCCTCTAGACAGCTCTCCCAGTTTTATTCTTCAGCATGAAGCCAAATAGTATTCAATACCCCTTTGGCCAGTTTGGGTCAACTGCCCTGGTACTTTCCTCTCCCAGCTACTTGTGCACTGCACTGGCAGGATGCAAAGAGAAGCAGGAACGTCCTTGGCTGTATGTATGTAAGCACTGCTCAGCAAGAACTAAAACCTCGCTGTGAGATCAACATTATTCTCATCCTAAATCCAAAACACAGCACCACACCAGGTACTAGGAAGGAAATTAGCTCTACACCAGTGAAATCAGAACAACTTCTTAAAAACCTAGACCTACAGCTGTTACTCAGCAAGTATAGTGCTTTAATAATGAACATTAGTTCCTTTGGAGTTTGGCAGTTCTGGAAAACAGAAAGCCAGATGGAAGAGAAAAAAAATTAATGGGAAATGAATAGAGGAAATAAAACAGAAATTTATTAAAATTCATGACTGCAACAACACTAAAGGACATTGTCGTTGCAGAAAGTGTGAACTACCACTGTGGCTGTAAGTGGAAGAACACATTTTCCCAGTGCTTCCCTAGAAAAGCTGCTGGGTATATGTAGGAAGGGGGAGAGTCAGACGTATAGGTAAGGGTATGTTCATTTTATTTAATCAAGCATACAACACTGCTTCCAAAGATACCACATTTCAGCTTTCCTTGTGCTTCTGATGTCTAACAAAAACTCAGAACTCTGTTGTTAGGAAACACAAAAAACTTACTGTGTCTTCATATGCTGTCTCCTCAGTTGTTTGTTATCTGTTGAATAATTTCTGTTTGATGTGATAGTGGCACAGAGTCTAAACCAAGCATTTTTTTGCCACTATCTTTTATGTTTGACAGCAGTTGGCTCATGTATTTTTTCTGGCTTAGATGCATGATCTAGAGAATGGAGAGGAATTATGTTATTGCATTGGGAGACCATTGCAGGAAATAATTTTTACATTATTTTGATGGACACAGAGAATCTTTCTTATATAATGGTTCTTTTGTACATGACTGGGACCTATAGTAATACCGCAGACCAGTAACTGTTAATGAAATTATATTTCCCAAAGATGTATAGCTGTGAGATTTTTTTAAAGTCTCAAGACTGCTAGAAGTCTCTTAGCATTGTAGTTCATATCTTACAAACTATTGCAGAAAAACAAAATTTAGTCAGGTTAAATGGGCCAGGGTTCAGGAATGACTGAGCTTCAAATCAAAAGACGTAATTTGGAAACTAAACTAAAAATTGAAATAAAATGACAGCAAACTCAAGACAATGTTTATTCTAAGCATGTACAAACCCTTTTTGATGCTGTTTTCAAAATGACGCAGCAGTTAAATGTATTGCACCCCAGGGAAGTATAAACCTCAGGGCCTGATTCTCCTTGCTACATAATAACAATGGTGAACAGTAGCCTTAAAGTAGATATAAATTGCATTTAAATCTTCTTTATGGCTCAGCAGTGATACAAAGGAGGCTTGATATAAATGAGAATCAGGTCCCCCATATTTATTTAACCCCTGGGCTTTGTATATCATTTTGTTTGCACCTCTATGAGATTTGCAGAGGGATTTTTAATCAGGATTCAGTGTACAGAAAGCTAAATGTTTTCATTGCTTTACAAGTAGCTTTAATCATACAGGCAGATCATTCTTTTTATTTCTCAAGAGGGAATGGTAGAATTTCTTACCTTCACACAAACTGAGCTAAATGTTTCTGACACCCTAGTACAGTGTCAATTGGAAATTCACATTTCATGTAATAGCAGACCATTTTAATTTCATGAGCTAAAGAATCGGTTTCCACTTGCAAATTGTACTGAAAAAAGCAATATTGTCAGAAGAACTGGCACAGTGCTTCAAGAGATAAATCTATTGAATTAAATAAGAAGCTTTCATTACCTTTTACACAGCATTTCTGTATAACATAAGCATTAATTAAACTCTTCATTGCTTTTCTCATTCAGTGGAGCATTTGCTAGGTTTGACAAGAAATGTTGTCCAAGAAAATATGTGGCACCCAAACACCCAGACAATTAAAATACAGTTACTCAAATAGAAGGGAAGGAAGGGGAAAGGGGGAGAATATTTTGGTGCATTTGGACAAGCAGAACCTATCTACAGAAATATGTAATTTATGATTTTCAAGTTTTGATAGAAAGAAAGCTCTGATGTCTTGTAACAGGTCATCTCATTAAGCATTTCTCCAGACATTCTGAACACAAAGAGAAAGCAAGAAATTGTCTTAGGATTTTTAAGTATACTTTTGCTTGCATAGAAGGCTACTTCAGTTCAAGAATCATTTGCATTGTGAGATGTTTCTGAATTATCAGAACAGCTCTGCAAAGTGTGTCTCTCCACCTCTGTGGGAAGAGCCCAGACATGGCACAATTGTTTATTAAGAACAAATTGATCCCAAAGAAGTGATCAAACCTTAAAGATATCTTTATGTAGCCCACATTCCTGAAGTGAAGGGATATGTATATTGGGTTCTGATATATTTCGATCTGTGTTATAATATTTCTAATGCCTTTTTTCTTGCAATTCCAGGGGAACACTTGAGAACCTGCCCTCAGGAATATACATGCTGCACCTCAGAAATGGAGGACAAGTTAAGTCAGCAGAGCAAACTGGAGTTTGAAAACTTGGTGGAGGAGACAAGTCACTTTGTACGCACCACTTTTGTCTCCCGGCACAAGAAGTTTGATGGTAGGCTGGATGTAATTTACTTATTTTCAAGGTTATGGGATTTTAAATGTTGGTGATCCAGAATGAATTCCAACGTTCTTTTCTTTACAATTACGTATCACATTTGCAGTTGTCAGTTTGGCTGAGATAAGGGTTAAGTTACAGCTGGCATGCTTATCAGCCTTATGAGTATTTCCTTTAATTACAATAACATCAAGGATCAGACTGTAAAGTGCCTGCAGGCTTGGCTAATGTTGAAAAAAAGATTAGATATGCATAGGGAGGTTTATAATTTTGTCTCCTGATTTCAAATGCAAAATTTAGGGATGCAGTTATGTTCACTGTTGCAAGATGAACTGTGGATCTCCCATTATTTTTTTTTTATTGGAAAGCAGTTTTTTAGTACTCTGACTTTTTGTAGGTTTATGGCTGCAGTGTTTTCCTACATGGCTTTCTTTTGATATGTATAGCCTTGTAGAGTACTTCTGGGGCTTTTAAACAGTCATGCCTCGATTGCATTTGAGAGGTACTTTCATGCAAGCCACTACAGATGCATTAAACATATATATTTTTTTTTACCTGGAAGGAATTGATAAAGAGAGTTTCCAGGCTTTCTTTATTTTTAATCAGTTTTGTCAGCCTTTTTAAGGCTCTTTAAATTTAAGAGTTTCTTGTCTGTCATGGTTTACTAAATACTTGTCTTAAAGAATGAGCTGTTTTTGTGGATGTATCCATATTTGCAAGTCACAGTTCATTGGTCTTTTCTTATGAACTGCAGATTAATAAAGAGCAAAAGAGCTTCAGAATATTGTCATGTTTTTATCAACGGAATAATTTTTTAAAAAAATTTAAAATAATTTTTCTAATATTGATTACCTCAATATGACACAGAAAGTTATAAAAGGAAGGAATGGGAAATATATAACACGAGGAAGTTCTAGCGCACCAGAGCAAATGCTAATATAATTCAGAATATGTCCCCAGTCTTTGGACTTCGGACTTGGTGTGGATGTGGATGTCTGTGCAGTGTCCTGCACTGTGATGCCTTCTATTTTTTAATGTTAATCTTGAACTTTTGTGCCCTAAGTTTCCAAAACTGTAGTTGTCCTTGAAGAACTTAACAAAAAAATCTAGTGGTTGTGAGCACTATATCAGGAAGTCTGCAAACAAAATAAATGTTTGAAAATATCAGCAACATTTGCAGAGCTTTCCTTGTTTTCTAGAAGGAAAGCAAGAAGATCACTGGCATTTGGTGAACAGTGCAGTCTAATGAAAACGCTGGGCTTGTTTATGGTAGAGTTTAAGTATTATATTATTTATTTTTAGGCAACATGTGGCATTTTGGATTTGCAATGAACTTAAACACATGACAGCTTTTTCAGTAACTTGAAATACTGTGAAACCGTTGTCTTTATTGATGGTAGGGTACATAGATCAAAGCTGTTGACCTGTTAAAAATGTTGTATTTGGGAGGTTTTTATTGATCTGCTCTATATTAATTGGATTAAAAAACTGTGGCTTATTGTACATTTTTAAAGGTAATTTGCAATATTCAGTCTCAATATTATCAAAGAGCAATTGAATTTTCTCTATAGTTTTTTTTTTATATTTTAATGATGTTATAAAACTATTTAAAAGTTGTTCTCTTATATGGAAAAACTATTTAATCATTCTAGGGGGCAAACACATTCGTGGAAAAATGCATTATCTAATAGGTTGTCTTTCAGTATAAAAAACACTTATACATTTCTCAGTTTAATACGGTATGACACTTTTTCCTGTAAAGCAAATATTAGATTGTAAGATAACTTTTGTATTTTAGTTCTTCAAGATCATCTCTTTTTGTTTTGTTTTATTTTAATTCGGTAGTTCAATTGCACAAGGAAGTTTTGATGCATGAATCTGCCTTTTGATGCTAGTATACTGCAAATAATAGAACAAATACAGTAGCAAATTTAAGCAATACCAGAATATATGAGCATATAAGAAATGCTGAGATAGGGAGCATATTGTGATTATTCCCTGGAGGAGTTATTCTGAACAAGTGTTGTGCAGACGTTTATGTCGGTTTGTAAACTCTTAAAAGTGATGTGGAAGTTCTTGTTGATTTTTGATATTCTAGTGTACTAGGCAGGTCTTATGATAATACTAATTTTCACAACATAAAACTTTCTAACAGTGTATGAACTCTTTGCTGAATTATGATCTGATCGTTGTGTGTCTTGCTTCTCTTGCAGTAGTTCGGATCCTCTATCATTTATTTTCTGTCTCTCATTCATACACTTAAGTACAGGTTAGATGATTTTCTGATTTCCTTTGTGAGAGCTTTTATAAGGTCTGTTTTCTCTTTCAGGGTTTTGCCCCTGATTACTATTCATGTTCTAATTTTCATCAGTGAAATTCATTCTACTGTAGTATAAAGATTGTCTCTTTAGCCTCAGGTCAGTCACATAATCCTACACAAAATCACAGTACGGCTGAGATGTGAAGCCATCTCTGGTGGTGGTCTAATCAGTGTGCCTCAGGATCAGCCACTGCAGATTGCCCAGAACCATGTCCACATGCTCACATGGATTTTGAATGGCTCCAAGAATAGATTCCACAAACTCTCTGGCAACCTGTGCCAGTGTTTAGTCACCCTCACAATGAAAATATGTGTCCAGGTGAATTTATTTTTTTAATTAAGTTGATATTTTAATTCTGTTTTTAACTACATGTGCATTCTTTCTTGTCCTGTCGCTGGGCTCTTCTGATCTCTCTCTACTCCCTTACAAGCAATTTACACACATTAATAAAATCTTCCTTTCTGTAGACTACACAGTCCAGTTTTCAGCCTTTCCTCTTATGTGAGATAGTCCAGTCTGTAATAACCTTACTGGACTTCTGCTGGACTTGCACCTAGATATCCACATCCCTCTTGTACTGGGAACTGTACCCTGCACTCCATGCATCACCTTACTACTGCTGAGTAGAGTAGAAGGTCCTAAATGTCATTTCTAGGTACTTTTTAATTTCATTTTACCTGAAGTACAGTATTTGCAAAATATCTCTAATAACTAACATCTGGAATAACAGTACACAAGAAAAGCTAAAAATGAAATTATTTACAGAGAAGTTTAGGAACTATTAAATGTTTTGGAACCAGTTACGTGCTTTTCGTTTTAGATGGGAATTAGTTTTTGCAGCCTAAAGATCTGCATGATCTTATTTACTTCTTACTTATTTGCAAGAAACACTTCTGAGGGAATGTTACTGTGGTGGGACTTTCAATTGCTCTACTCCGCCAGATCCAATTTTTTTCTCTGTGTTTTATTCCTAGTATTTTGTGTGGTTTTGAGATATCTAGTAGACAAAGATCTGACAGCAGTATTTCTCATTTGTTTTGTATATGCTAAGTGAATTAATATAAATTACTATGCAATATAATTTCCATTGCTACTTTTTTCTTGGCTGAGCCATATCTACAGTTGTTTACAGATCTGTATCTAAGGTTAATCTGTATTGCCCATGTCTGTATACTTACCAGTGCATTGTCATATGGCATAGTCATTTGCAAACATTCAATATCTGGAATTTCACTGTTGGATGAATGAGGATCAAGGGAATCTCCTCCTGGTAATTTTTCCTAAGAAAGCCTTGGAATTATAAAAATTTCTGTAAAATAATAAGTGACCAATTATCTCAGCAATGGGAGATACAAACCCTTCCAAATTCTGGGAAAACAAATAAACAAACTTTCACAGACAGGAAATACACAGAAAGTGAGGAGTGATAGCAGATTTTTCATCTAACTGTAGTCTGTGAGTAGGACTAATTCAAATGAGCAGACATGAAATGATCAGCTGTTTCCTGTTCCTAGAAATAGGCAAGCAATCATGCTGTAATTCCTAGGCACCCACTGCATACCCCAAAGCAGCTTAATATACATTATGTTCCCAATGTAGTTATAATAGCATCATCTTATTATCAACAGTTCTCTTGCATGGTAGCATTGCTGAGCAGCTGTTTCACAGATAAGCCAGTTCTTTTAAGAACTGCTCCATCAGCAGCCCAAACCAGCCCTACCGGAAGGTTTTGACATGAATGTTAATGAGGAGACAAGTATCTGTTCAGTGACATTTTCTCGCTAATCTTTTGAATAACTACATGAAAATTATAGAAAATAAGATTATTTAAGCTTAATTGATCTGACCCTGATAAAAGAGAGACTGTCTCCTCATTCTCATTTGAAAAGGATAGGAATCTTGGCAATGGTTTTAAAAATGAGACAACGTGTAAGAATAACTCTCATGAACTTGAATGGTTATAGATAGCCTTCAGCAGAATCTATATGGTGCCATGGAAGGAAAATAAATTCAATAGAGTAAGAACTAACCTGCATCTGTATTGATCTATCTCACAAGGGATATATTATTTCCCATAGTCTTTTCTTCTTCTTCCTTTTTTTTTGTTTCCCCCCAATGAAGGGAAAATAGCAATACATACCCATTAGCTCTACTTTTATTTCATTGTCATTACCAAAAGTTGCAGTGTAAATTAAAGAGCCAAATAAGAAAATTTCAGAATTAACCCACCAAAACAATACCTGCAAGAATAGCGAACACCACAGAACTGCTTTCTCATGAAATCTACAGAAGAACTGGGGAAAAAAGAAAAAAAAAAGTGTTTAAGAATCTTTCCTTAATACAGGAGGTGGCAAAAATGCATTTTAAGAAGTGTTTTTCTAACAAAAGAAGAATTTCTAAATGAGAAATTTTTGTAGCAAGGTATAACTACTCAGTATAAATTTGGCCAAAAAAAGAAGGAAACGAGAGTTGCTTGAAGTAAGAATACACTGAGATTCAGCTGCATGGACAGTGTAAGCTTTCTGGCCTTTGCACTTCCTCCCACTCTCTGCTAAGTCTGGCAGATCAGTTTTGGCCTGAAGCTTCAATGATGTTTATGGTCTTCAGCAGAGGAGTGTGAAGCCAGCAGGACCCCATTTGCACACTGTTGCTGTCATGGAATGCAGCTAAAGCATG